CTCTCTCAGAAATAAATAAAAAACATTAAAAAAAAAAAAAAAAAAGAATGAAGTACTGAATAATGCTAAAATGTGGATGAACTTTGAACGCCTTAAGGTTCTAGGTAAAAGCAGGCAGACAGAGGCAACTATTGTATAATTCCACTTACATGAAATGTCCAGAATAGGCAAATGTATAAAGACAGGAAGTAGATCAATGGCTGCCATGGGCCAGGGTCTAGAGTAGGAAGTAAAATTGACTTCTGACTAATCAGGTTTTTTTAATTGTGACAAAATATAAATAAATTCACCATTTTAAATGTCCAATTCAGTGTCACTGACCTTTGAATTTTAAACTCAGGTTTACGTCACCATTCCAGAAAGAACTTAACATTTAGATTATAATTCACATAACATAAAATCCACCCTCTTATTAAGAGTATTATTTAGCAGTTTTTAATGAATTCAGAGCTGTACAACCATAATCACAATCTATTTTTAGAATATTTTTACCACCCACAAAGAAGTCACTCCTCACTTGCTTATAATACAGTCCCTCATGTAGTAAATGGCACAGCCAAAATGTAATCTTTGGTCATTCCACTTCCAGAGATGGGTAGACCTAGGGTGTCAAGTGTCTGCTGCATCTCTCCCCGCTGCTCTGTTGGGGACATGTGTTGTCTCATTTTGTTGAAATTACTACAAATTACCAGTGACTTTCTAATTCCCAAAATCAGAAAACAGACCCATTTATCTGACTAGATCCTACTTGCCAGTTTTTACTGCTTACTGTTTCTAGATACACATTAGAAATATCTGTCTGAAGTGCAAACTATTAACTCTAAGTCCTTTTATTTTACTCCTTGTAACACTGAAATAATTAATCATGAGTTTCTAGAAACTCATTGATGGTAAATTCTTTGGTACTACCTGGCAATGAAAATTTTTACAGACATGAAGAACTTTACATTAAGGCCTAAGAAACTTAGAAAATATTGTTTTTCTTAATTATTTTAAATATGTTAACTAAATTTTAAATTGAAATTTTCTAAAGTAATGCAGATTAATTATAGAAAGTTTAGAAAAAGTATCACTTCTGTGATCTTTGGTATAATTTCTCCATCATTTACTCCTAGCTCTGACTTTGGTCACATTGTTTTTAACTTCTCTTTCTCCCCTTTTCCTTCTTTGTAAAATAAGGATAATGACAGTGCTGGTCTTGTGGAATTGTAAATGTCAAACAAGAAGATTTACATAAAATTCACATTGCAGACCTGCCATGGAATAAGTGCTCAGAATCCAGTAAAGTCCCTTGCAGGGTGCTAAATGACTTTGACAGCATTGTGTAGTAGAAATAGGCTGTACTTGAGAGGTTGAGTTCTTTCCCCCCGAACTCCATGAACCTTTTAATGAGAGGACAGAAAAAGCTATGGACTTAATTTTGGTAAAGGGCTTTGTCATGACATATTCCTTTACAGTTTTGCCCATGTCAAAGAATTTGTATCTCTCGTATCTCAAGTGATGCAGTACAGAGTTAGGTAGCGCAAGCCCTTTGCTTAAATAGTATTTACTATTGTTACATACCTTAGAAATGAGAAAGGGAAATGAGAGTGGAGTGAGGGTACATCACAGAGTTAATTGCTTAGTGGCAGAATCGAGGCTAGATTCTCCATCTAGTCTTCTTTCCTCTAATTCCTAATGCCTCAGCTCAGTCCTTTGAACCAAGTCTAAAGTAGATGAACATCCCACATATATATATAGGAGTTGGAAGGGTATTATCCCCAGTTGTCTTCACGGGTAACCTGTGTGGTCATCTTCATTACCAGTGTCATCCCACAAAACTCCGAGAATGTGCAATAGCATCGTTGTATTTTCATTGTTCTGGCCCATAGGTGGCTTTGGGGTGGGGGGTGGGGGTTAGAAAAGCGTAACTGAACAGTGAGTATATTTCAAGGACTTGATAAAGGCTGATGAATTATTTCATTGTTACAAGGAGTAAAATAAAAGGACTTAAAGGGGCGCCTGGGTGGCTTAGTCGGTTAAGCGTCCGACTTTCGCTTAGGTCATGATCTCGCGGTTCGTGGGTTCGAGCCCCGCGTCAGGCTCTGTGCTGACTGCCAGCTCAGAGCCTGGAGCCTGTTTCAGTCTGTGACTCCCTCTCTCTCTGACCCTCCCCTGCTCACGCTGTCTCTCTCTCCTAGAAAAAAAAAAAAAAAGTTTAAAAAAAAAAAGACTTAAAATAGTTTGCACGTCAGACAGATATTCCTAATGTGTATGAGACATTAACAATAAACTCCCAAGAGTTGTAAACTTAGCCAAGTAGCTCACTGAGAAAAGATCCCAGGCCCCTCCTTGCTGAAGTGTGACAGAAGTGAAAGGATGTTTACAGCTTTAGCTTTCATACGAACACTTGTCTCAGGGAGTCACATACAATGGGAGGAGGCGTATCTCCTCTTCTGTGTTCCCTTGAGGCACACTGTGAAGAAAGCACTGATGAACGTCTAAGGACAGGAAGAATAAATGCACCTTTAAAATGACAGGTCTGATCACGTTATTACTCCACCACTTAAAAATCTCTGCATTCTCGGGGCACCTGGGTGATGCAGTTGGTTAAGCATCTGATGCTTGATCTCAGCCTCACATTTTGTGAGTTTGAGTCCCACTTCGGGCTCTGTGCTGATGGTACAGAGACTACTTGGGATTCTGTCTCTCCTTCTCTCTGCCCTTCCTCTGTCCTCTTCTCTGCCAAAATAAACTTTTAAAAAATCTCTTCATTCTCTTTACAGGATGGTATCCAGATACCTCAGTAGCAGGTCCTTGAGTAGCTGTAGTTTATCAGACTTCTCTGCATTGCATCAGTGGTCTTCCCTTGTGGCTCTGTGACAGAGACTTCCTCATTCTTAATGGCCCTTGGTTATGTGTTATCTTTGCTGGCCTTCATGCAAAGTTGCTCTCTGCCCTGCTCCCAGGGCATTTTGTTTATTTCTAAATAAGAGCAAATGTCAGGACATCGTAAGTCCACGACTGACTAGCATTAGTCAGAAATGGGAAATTGAACGTTTTGTATCCTTCCTAGTGCCAGTCAAGTTTGCTACCTGATTTACTGGTTGGGAAGTCCCTGCAAGTACTATTAGTTCATCATCCTATGTTCTCCTGTCTGGCCTCTTAACAAAAGTTCTACTGTTTTGGTTATTTCCATTTTATAAGTAATTTGTTTCCTTTTCTTTATAGGCAGCATAATTCGTTGTATGAGGCGCCTGGAAGAACTGCTTAGACAGATGTGTCAAGCAGCAAAAGCCATTGGAAACACTGAGCTGGAAAACAAATTTGCAGAAGGTCAGTATCTAGTCTGTAAGCTTTTTCTAATAATTAAGGCAAATCTTATGAGATCTGAGTTCTTGACATGTAGGAAGACTTTTTAGATGCTCTTCAAAGGAATGCCATGGAGGGCCATCTAGTAGTGTTTACAGAAACTTCTAGAGTGTCTGTGTGGGAAAAGTTCTGAGGTTTTATATATAATCTATAGCAGTGAGTAAAAAACGCCACAACTCTCTGCCTTCATGGATCTTACATTCTGGTGTGCAGAGATGTAAAACAAGTCAACAATTAAAATATTTCACATGGTGATAAGTCTACAGAAGAAAAAAAGGGAGAGACCATAGGAACTGGATAGATGAGGTGGCCTAGGGGCCTCACTCAGAAGGTGGCATTGAGACCCTTTTGTGTATGCTTGATAGACTTAAGCACCAGCAAGAGGCCAGTGTGGCTAGAACAGAGTGGGCAGTGAGTAGAATAGTAAGAAGGAGAAAAGAAATGATCATTTTAGCCCTCAGCCCTCGACGTTTTCCTGAAATGATTATTGGAGGTTTGGAACACAGGAGTGCTGTGTACTGGCATGGGTTTCACAAGGCAGTTCTTGCTGTTGCATTGTAGGCTAGTCTGTAGTTTAGCAAGGTGGAAGCAGGAACACCAGATCATGAAAGGATAGCCATTCTGAGGTGGTAATGACGGAGGTGGGCGAGGAGTCTAACATACTTACGGTTTGTTCCGTCTGAATATTGGCCAAGAGAAAGGGTGGGAGTTTAAACATGAAAGAGTAGCAGCCACATTGGTGCTCCGAGTTGCTTGTTCATAGTCAACCCTAATGATTTCTGCTAACTAGTGTCCTCAGAAGAGGTGTTCAGAAACTGAGTTACGTTTCCATATGCTTGATGGGGCAGACCTATTTCATCAACCCACGTTTACATCTAGTTACGCAAACAGTTTATCTTGTTAATGCTTATTATTTTGAGAGCGAGACAAGAGTCCGATTAAGGGAGGGGCAGAGAGAGAGGGAGACACAGAATCCGAAGTGGGCTCCCGGCTCTGAGCTGTCAGCACAGAGCCCAACACGGGGCTCAAACACACGAGTCACAAGATCATGACCTGAGCCAAATTCGGATGCTTAACTGACTGAGCCACTCAGGCACCCCTCAACTTTTTAAATAATACAATTTGTCCTGCCTTCATCCAGAAGGAATTTCAGATGGTAAGTGAAAATACAGTATCTCCTGATGTAGGCTGAAAATTCATGCTTTTGGGCCAAATAACTTATTTTGACAGTTTAGTCTTTCCCTCAGTAATAAGTCTTTGCGAACAGTTTGAACCTTTCCACCCCCTGCAGATACACACGGGAGACATACTGGGCCCTTCAGAGTCTAGAGTCATAAGTTTCTAAGTTTCCTCTCAGAGGTGGCTGCGAACTCTTCCAGGGATCTTTTACACCAACAAGGTCTTGTGTCATCAGGATAGTTGTGTTAAAACCGCACCAGATGGGAATCACGATCTTTGTGGTCTTAAAATTTTAAATATTATTTTCTTTTCTCGTAGGAATCACCAAAATCAAGAGAGACATTGTATTTGCTGCCAGCCTCTACTTATAAAGAGCCAGCGAAACGAATGTGGGATTTTAAATTTTTCACCACCTGTCTGATTACAGCTGACTACATACAAATGCTTACCCAAGTACCGATTTGGTTCTCTCAAGGTTCAAACATTTTAATACATGTTGTGTTTCAATCAGGCATCATTCTAAGAAAGCATACATTACATACACATTTGTACATAAGCATTACATTTTTTAATAAAAAATGTAGAGGTGGCCATTGTTTTAGTGAAAGGCTTAAAGTTTTTTTTTAACGAACTCAGAGCTGTTAGATAACCATTTTGTTGAAGGGAACTATATACACACACGGGTAAAGTGGGCATCCAAGAGGTATAGCAGCAGTCCCTTAAAGGCTTGTACACCGTGAAAAAACGTGTCGTCTGGCTTTACGGTTGCAATCATTTTCCTTTAGAAAGCGGGCCAGCTTGATGTGAGCACTCTGCTGCCTTCAAGGTTGGTGGTTGCTCCTAAAGTGATTGCCTGCTGTTGGTGTTTCGTGCAGAGTTGTATGAGAGTCCTCTTCTTTCCTTTCTTTAAAAGGAGAGTTTCTCTCCTTGAAGAAATCTGATACATACACAACCTATAGAGAACAAGTTATACTTAGAATAGGACAAAAGTATTTAATGATGTAATTTAAGTTTAAAGACCATATACGTAGTTTTAACAAGCAGATTGCCAAATATATAAAAGGTATACATTAAAGGGTACAAAAAATTAGTGACCAATAGGAAGTTTTAATGTAAGAGATACTTGTAAAATTGAGAGATGCTTAGTTAGCTAGGTCTTGAGTAAATCGCTTTACGCTGTTAGCACTTAAGGTATTCTGCAATCATACCAAAAAGAAAAAACCAAAAACAAAATGCCTTAGGCATAGCCTTTTATGAAACAGTTTCTGTAACTTTTAGGAAAAGCAGTATAGTTTTTTTATCTGCTGTCTATCCTAACATGACTTAGTAACATCAGTGTTCTTACCCAGTAAAAATTACTAAGCCACGTTATTTCCTTTATATAGTTTTTTTCACTGACTCATGTTTTCTACTTATTTATCCCAGTGTTCAAAATGTAGGCTGCCACCCTGTATACTTACAATTAATATTGCAACCAGAGCTCCTTGAATGAGTCCAGTTAGTACATCACTCCAGTGGTGTTTGTAGTCAGAAACTCGCGAAAGGCCCACGTAAATGGATACGGCAACAAGACCAAATTGCAGTGTGGGGCGTAAGAGTCTTGCCCAGTCTCCCTTCATCCTGGCCTGAAGGTAAAGCTAATAGCAAAGGTAAGAATAAAGAGTTTAACATACCAACTAGAAACTTTAGTATCACCACACCCCTAAAATTTTGGTGTTTAAAAGAATTAATAGTCTTTAAATGTTAATAGTCATTACCATTCATAACCACTGAATAATCAGAATATAAATTATATATGGAATAGGGCTTTAAGGCAAGCATTCTTATCCTCGTTAACACCTGAAAGTTAATCTTTATAAAAAGCAAAACAGGGGTCCCTGGGTGGCTCAGTCTGCTAAAGTGTCTGACTTCAGCTCAGGTCATGATCTCACAGTTCATGAGTTCTGGCCCGCGTTTGGCTCTGTGCTGACAGCTCAGAGCCTGGATCCTGCTTCAGATTCTTTGTCTCCCTCAGATATAACATTAAAGGGATTTTTTTTTTTTTTTAAAAAGGCAAAACAAAAAGTGCCCTAGAAACTTAGCTTTTAGAAGAGTTTATTACTGTAGCTAGCTAGACTACTTTTCAAATTGTAAACAATGTTTACAGCTCTTCTTCCTGCAATCTGTGTTATAATTCTGATTGAAAGGCAACTTTTATCATTAGTTCCAAGTCTTGGGATAAACTGCTAGGTTTCTGAAAACAAGGTTGTCCTTATTCTGGTCCAAGCTACTATGTATTCTGCCCTGTCTATCTAGGGATTAAGTTGGTTTTATTCAAACAGGTTACTTGACAGCTCCACAATCCTCAAATTATTTCAAAGGGCAGCCAATAAATAACCTGTATTTATAATACAGTTATCTGCCTAATAAGAAGTAGAGGTTCTAGTTTAGTCCTGATCCAACAATGAAATACATTCTTTGATTAGCACCTGTACTCTTTTAGTTCTGTGACTTTTCTCTACAGTAATCAGATGACACCCTGCAGGCTCTTCTCTGTCAGCCTGCCTTTGACTTTGGGTATAGCCCTATAGACTTGGGATCAACTGCTACCTTTAAGCAAATCTGGTCTCTTTAAAAAAAAAAAAAAACAAATTTTTTGGCCTTATTTCAATCTAATAAGACTGTGTCTTCAAAGTATATTTTTAAAATTCTGTTTGACATTTTGTGACTCATACACTTAATCAAATACAATTGTTTTCCTCAGAGAACAATTTAAGATGGCTGTGCCTATTTGAAAGAGATTCACAATCCATTCCCAGCTCTTTGAGCATTGCTGTGAGCATTAAATTCTCAACAGCTGGCAAAGATTCAGAGGTTATCTAATTTTATCAAGTTTTTTACAGTATAAACATATGGTTATAAAAAAGCATGAGTTGTTCAACTGAATTGCACTCATTAGCTGGTTTAAGTCCTACTGGCTTTCTGCAGAGCCCCTCCTTTCCTTTTTTGTTTGTTGTCGAAGCTATAAAAACATAAATAGTAAGAAGCCTGTCTTGAGATTGTGGAGTTGGGAAGAAAGTCAGTTTTGGTTGAGTCAAAGGTTGCATCTGGCAACTGAAGCCAATTTAGTTACATAACCATGCCAGTAAGAGTCCCCTCACTAGTTCTATCTTGATTGGAAATGGTTTTTTCGTTTTGAGGAGAATACTAGTACCTTGATTGAGGCTGAAGCCAAATTTTGGATATTACTGCCTAAAAGTTCAGCTGTCCTATTCTGGCTATTTAACTGCCTTCTGCCTTTTCACAATTGTTTAAGGCATAGGTTCTTCAGACTATAAAATAAACTTCCACTCAGTCCTATTTTGTGCTTCCAAACCAAAGGAAATGCAGGACTCTGAAAGTCCTTCCTCACTATGGATTCTAAAATCCTTCTAACAGTATTTTCCTTCCAAAGAACCTGACTTTATAGGTAGTCTGTCCCGAAATTCCTCAACATCGCTGTGGACAGAATTAACAATCACTTATGGATCAGTACTCAAGGTCCAGTATACTTCAGGTGAAACCTTTAGCCTCTGAGTTTTCTCCTTACACACTTACCCAAGTAATGTTACCCCATTTCTGAGGACCCAAAGATTATTTCACTCTGAGGGAGTACTAGGAATCCCCCCACCTCCTCCACTGTGGTTATAAACCTAACCTGGCCCTCTTTCTAAGGCTCTGGCTCCTCTGATGACTAATGGCTGTGGTGTGTATACAGGCTGTGGTCATAGAACAATTCTCAGCTCTGGGTGAGGTTGGCTAATCGAGTGTGCTTCCTATTTGCCTGTTCTGTGTTTCCGAGTCCAAGGTACTCAGTGGAGCTCTGGGAAGGTCAGGCATCACTTACGTACACAGCCCTGTTCATCACTGTAAAGAATCTTCCATTTTAGTAGACCCCAGAGAGGTAAAAAACACTGGGTTTCTTGGACCCTGGATCACTTGCCCACAATTCCAGACTTTGACAGCTCCCCTCCCATGTTGGCAGCCAAAAGTAAAAGTCTTTCCTTCATAAGCAGCATCAGCAAAGCACCCAGTGCTATCTTCCTGGTGGCTCCATGTCCTAAGCCTTTCTCAGATTCTGCAGTACAGATCTCTTAAGCTCCTACCCTCTGGCGGCACTAGAGATTTGACTTCTACCACTCATCTAACTGCTTCCCCAAATCATTAACTCTTGGCTATTGTCTCTTTTTCCATTCTTTGACTTTGTGGGTTTATAACCTTTTATTCTATTCCTTGTCCTTTAAGAGGAAAGACGACAGTATATGCTCCTTTAAAAACAAGTTTCTCTCAAGGGAAGAACATGTTCCTAACTGCCTTAGAGAAACAATGTCTGAAGCTCTCACCACTGTTCTCTTAGTACTAGATACAGGGACAGACATGAATGGGATTCTCTTTCTCTCAAAATAAACATTTCAAACACACACACACACACATATTGGTGGAAGAAGTCCACTGCTTATCTTATAAAACTCAGAAGAACTACAGAACTCCAGTCCAACATTGTGTATGGTCCCGACACTCTGTGGCAGTCTTACAAATTCCCCTCCTGGGGGTGGGGTGGGGGGGAATGTCTTTCCACAGCAGTTGAAAGGGAAGCCCCATTTAAACCACACAGCTCTGCCTTCACTTCTGAGAGGACATTGAAGATGACCTATGAAAGGCCTGACCCAGACATCTGCTGCGCTGTCTTCTCCCTCTGGAATTTACACTGGAAGGATGAAGGAGTTCTCTTTTTCTCAGAGGTATAAAAAGGGCATCTAAAGGATACAGGATAGGCTACTCGCAAACTCAACTTACAAGGACCTCAAAGCTGTGGTTCAGCAATGACAGCAAGCCACTGAGTACATGGATCAGAGTGGCAGCAAAGAACAGAGTTGCGGCCACGCTGAAAAGGCACATGGCCACTGAAATGGAGCAAGTTCATTTCCATTCCTGGTTGGAGGCTGTTTCTAGCCCGTGTATGTCTTTACTATAAACCATTTTTTTTTCTTTGGGAGATCGAAGTGAGTCAGTTGCTTACAACCAAAAGATAAAAAAGCTAATTACCATCCACCTTTTGTGTTTAACCAAATCCCATTTTGTTTTGTTTTTAATTTGGATTCTGTGACTCAAATGATGAAGTTTCACTTTTTAAAAAGATACGTTTCACTTGAAAAGGAAAACAATGTTTATACATCTGGGTTCAAACAGCAAGAAAAACTTAAAAAAATTAAAACCCATGAAAACAAACATACTACATGTCCACTGAAGGTCCCATTACAAGAGAAGTCTGGCACTAGGCACGGGATTTATTTCCATGACTTCTTTCTACATGGACTACAGCGTGTGAGCCTCTACCCTAAGCCCAGTGTTTGTCTACCCATCTCCGTCACTCTCCTCTGGCCCATTCTGATTCTTCTCTGAGTGCGCTGCAATTTGGCCTCAACTGACCTGCCCAATGGGTACTTTAGTCAGCTGGTGGGAGATGGGGGATCCTGCAGAGTGAGAGAGTCTAGGCCTCTGGATTCCTCCCAATCCTAAACATCCAACTCTCTGGTGAAGGAAGCTCCAAAGTAGAAAGTTCACAACTAGAAAGAAGAGAAAGAGCATAAAAGGCAGAACAGAAGCCGTAATCTGCAGCTGATGCACCTGGCTGGTCACGGATGTAGACCCCAGAAGCAAAGAGAACAGTTGTGTTTGTGAAAGAAACACCGGAACCTACCATGAGGGTCACATCCAGGAAAAGGCAGGAGGCACAAAGTGAGAATAAAGAATTATTAATAAGAAAAACAAAGATCTATCCTACACCTAACTAACCTTTACACCAGTCCCTGCCCCCATTTTCATCTACTGAAAGAGGCAGGAGAGACCTATATACCACAGGAGGACTTGGAGAGGAAATCAACCTCAGGGCCCAAAAGGAAATCTGTGAGGCCTGTCTCTATTCCTCCCTGTCTCTGCAGGAGGGGAATTATTATTTGAACCTGACCAGACAGTGGATCAGAGCAAGAAAGTGTCCACTCTTCACAAAAAAACCTATTGAACATGGGATGGAAATAAGTTACCGTGTCCAATTTTTTTTTTAAATACAGTAGCTTCTTTAGTTGAGATGTTATTAGAGATTCATAAAGGCAATTTCTAATTCCTTAAGGCAATAAGGACAAAGGAATCAATTTGCTCAGTTTAACCAGATACTCAAACCCAGAGAGGATTGTAGGAAGACACTTCCTCGTGCAGGCAGCCAGTGCTTCCCTGAGAAGTGCAAAAAGGCCTTCCTCCTAATCCAGAGAGACTCCAACACGGAATCTCTCTCAGTGAAGAGCCTCATGATGGTTTTGTAGGGCACACTTAAGACCTGGTCAAAATAAATAGTGAGGACTTTCCAAGCCATAGGGCCACATTGGAACAAAATTAGAAGATACATCTTTCTTTTTTCTGTAGAAATTATTATATATACATCTTTTGTGAATAGGAAATTCAGTGTCTATTGACACAACTTAAGTATCCTTTGATTGTTTTATTATCACCAAAGGATGAACACAGCCTTTTTTTGCTTAAAATTTCTGAAAAAATAATATTGGCTTCTATTAAACGATCTAACTATTCTATTAAAATTGATTGCTAACCAAAATATTTTTTGAAGATGGCCTATTTTGCTTTTCCTTGTAACACTTAACTGCAAATGCTGTTGTCTCACAGGAGTTTCTTAACCTATTCTTAAAATGAGGAAGGGTTTTCCCCCCTCATTTTAAAGTAGAGTCAGACGGCCAGCTTGCAAGCTAAGAATGGTTTTCACATTTGGGGGACCTGGGTCTGACTTCTGATTTTGGTTCAGGTAGTGATCTCCTGAATCACAGGATGGAGCCCCACATCGGCTCTGTTCTGACAATGCAGAGCCTGCTGAGGATTTTCTCTCCCCCTCTCTCTGCCCCTCCCCCACTTGCTATCACACTCTCTAAACAAACACTGAGACTGCATGTGGCCCACAAAACCTAACTACGATCTGAATCTTACTGAAATCTGCTGACTCCGGTACTAAGACCAACAGCAGCATGTACAACACAAAGAGATTTTCCTTGCTCTATTTATTTTGAAACACAGCTTCTAAGCCTAAGCCAGGCAATATATTGTTCCACCTACATTTGATGACAGATCTGGCCAGGAGAACACCCTACGGCTGACCTCTTTTTAGTCTTCTCTAGGCTTCAATTTCACCATCTTTAGGATTCACAGAGTTCCTAAATTAGATGTAGAATCCCACGTTACAATTAGGATCCATGTAGTTCCTGGGCTCTGTTTACTTGCCCAGAGCTCAGCATTAATTCCCAATTTGGAAGACACCGTCATGAAGTACCACCCCCAATGCTAGATAATACATGCTGAGTGCCAGGTAAGCGGTTGTACAAACCCTGAGGAAAATAGGTGGTATCAAAGAGCCTAAGATTGAGACAAATGGGCAGCACTATCCAAACATAGGAGGTGGCAGTGGTGAGACCGAGACACAAGCCATTATGTGGCAGAAAAGGGGTCTAGCTGAAGCACAGACACTAAGGTACCTGGGCCCCCACGGTGGTAATTTATACAGGAATTTCATAAGAGACAGTGACATAAACAATCTGAGATTTCAGGCTCAATAGTACAGTGCTGGGAGATATTTTTTTAGCATATTCCTTTAGTATATTCCAATACATTCCATATATATATGGACTGAAAAAAGAACAGTCTCCTAACATAGTTCTTATCCTGGAAGGTCAAGTAAATTTGAAATCTTTGGCATTCAGCCTAGTTCAACAGCCATCACCAAGCACAGAAACTAGCTATGTGCAAAGAAGCCCAGCCATGTGCTTGGCTCCACCAGCCTAGGTGGATTTCATGGGTGCTGACTGCTGGGCTGCCTGCCAGAGGTGAACAATAATGGTCAGGATCTCTTAAGGGACTTTAAAGTAGGAGTTAATTTCTGGGTGTCAGGAATTCCTGACAAATTTTGGCTATCAAAAACCATCCTCAGAATTTAAAATGACTGTACATCTCCACCCAAATCTGGGACTGGCCCATGATGCCAAGATGCCTAGGGAAACAAGATGAGTCATTGCCTAAGGAATTGGCAGAGGAGGTGGGGTGGTTAAATGTTGTATATAAATGTGAAAGCTGGAAAGCAGGAGACATCTGTGTGTTCAGGGGCTGAAATAAAAGCTGGGGCCGACATCCACATCAAGTAAATATTTCCACTGCTTAGAGTCCATGACATGCAGTGCACAACTGCTCTGGCCAACTTTCTTCTCCAGGAAGGCCTTGGTCTCTGAGAAACACATTTATCGGAACTTTTCATTATAACTTTACATCTAACAGCTCATACTGACCCAATTACCAAACTACAACCTCAGTAATTTTCCCTCTGTTTATATCCCTAACTGGGTGTCCACAGAGAAGGCACACCACTGAGGCCCTCTAAATAATCATTTAGTCTTCTGTACATTAGTTTCATATTTTATAGAAGAGCCCTCGGTAAAAGTTTATATCTGAATACACATATATTTTGAGAAGGGTCAAAGGAGCAAAGATGAGCAGTAAACTATAGAATAAGGACTATGATACATCTGAGAATATACTTTACAATTAAAAACAGGTGGTAAAAGTTGTAGGTCATCACCTGATCTTCAAAATAACTGGACTAGGGTTAAGATCAAACAGAATCACCAAAGCAAGGGGACCTGACTATTTAAGAGACCAGTAGAGAGCTTACAGGCCTCAACAGCCTCCCAGGGCTCCTATTTCCCCATTTATAAAAAGGGTGGCAACCATCCCTCTTCTACGTCAAGAGAATTATTTGAGTCAACATAGTATCAACACAAATCATCTATATCAATCTCAGATTCTTTTTTTTACTTTTATTTTTAATGTTTGTTCATTTTTGAGAGGGGATAAGGGGCAGATAGAGAAAGAATCCCAAGGAGGCTCTGCACTGTCAGAACCCACGCAACCTGAGATTGTGATCTGAGCTGAAATCAAGAGTGGGATACCCAACCAACTAGAGCCACCCAGGTGCCCTCAACCGCTGATTATTAAGTCTCTCCTTACTGACTGAAAAGGTACTGATAACATGCAGATGAGGCACCCAACAAAGCTCAAAACCTGCGCTGCTGAGGTCTGGCTGTGGGCATACAAATCATGTCCAAACATTCAAAAGCCATCAGTGTAGTCACAAACTTGTGCTTTGGGAAGATTTCTCAGACTACTAATGACTCTAGCCTTCATCTCCCCATGCCCTATTTAAAAAGAAAAATCTACAGTGGCTCCTTTTAGAAAGAATCTAACTTTTCCTAGTAAGATAAATGAACAGAGGATATTGGAATAGTATTTCTTGTTACTCCCTTCAAGTAAGTCACATTCCTCATGGCATGTTTTGAGAAACATTTGGCTGTGTGTTTTCAAAAGGAAGTCCTAAATTCTGCTGAATTAGTACCCTGTTGCTTCCTCACAAAATCAAATTAACCTAAAACAAAAGACTTAAAATTACCTGAAATGCTGAAGAAGCCAAAATTAGCTCTACTGAAATGGTTGTGAAACTGGGGGTTAGAATTTTGTATAACACACACATCTGTAATTTTTATATTCTTCTGACCTTTTGAATTTGGTTTTTCCAATAAAAGCAGGGTTCTAGTAAAAGTTGATTTTAAAATGTCTCTAATATGTAAGCATTAAATACTCCTATAGCACTTAGTGTGACCAACAGAGAAAAAAGCAAATGGCCAATTTACACAGACCACAACTGTATAAAAATCCACTCATAAAAAGATTAAAAGTTATAGCTAATCCTTTAGGGTGAAGATATTCTCCCCCTCTGTTAAGATTTTCCAACATTGGGGCGCCTGGGTGGTTCAGTTGGTTAAACGTCTGACTTCGGCTCAGGTCATGATCTCACAGTTTGTGGGTTCAAGCCCCGCGTCGGGCTCTGTGCTGACAGCTAGCTCAGAGCCTGGAGTCTGCTTCCGATTCTGTGTCTCCCTCTCTCTCTCTCTGACTCTCCCCTGCTCACGCTGCCTCTCTCAGAAAGAAATAAAACATTAAAAAAAAAATTTTTTTTTCGAACAAATTTCCAACAAAATTGTTGGAAATTTGTTCTTAACTTTATGTACAGAGAGAGAAAGAGACAGGTAGAAGGAGACCGGGAACATTATAAAAAATAAGCCAATTGAATTGACCTTTATTATTATTATTATTTTTTTTATGTTTTATTTATTTCTGAGAAAGAGCAAGAGAAACAGCGTGAGCAGGAGTCAGAGAGAGAGGGAGATACAGAATCCGAAGCAGGCTCCAGCGTCTGATCTAGCTGTCAGCACAGAGCCCAACGCGGGACTCGAACCTACGAAGTGTGAGATCATGACCTCAGCCGAAATCGGATGCTTAACCAACTGAGCCACCGAGGCGCCCCTGAACTGACCTTTAAAAGACTCTGTAGGTCGCCGGGAGGCTCAGTCGCTGGAGAGCCTAACTCTTGATTTCAGCTCAGGTCATGATCCCAGGGTTGTGGGACTGAGCCTGCTTAAGATTCTCTCTCTCCTCCCTGCCCCTCCTCCCTGCTCCTGCTCACTCTCTCTCAAATTCTTCAATTCATGCACATTCCTTGTATATGCCCTAAACCTTGGTCTTCCTAAAGTTACTCGGGATACACACTCATCGCCAGATATGCGAAATGTGGATGCAAATATTTTGTAACTCTTCACTGTCAGCTGTGAATACTGCAGGTGCAAACTGCCATCCTGCTCTCTGGGCTGGCAGAGAAGCAGACCTGAAAACCGTACAGATGAAAAGCTCCTGAAGCAACAACCGGCTCTCCCAGAGGCTGAAACCTTTCTAGTCCCATGGAAAGCAGTCAATGAAATATTTCATCTGCTAATCAAAACGAAACTCCTAAACCCAACAGCCCCCAGGAGGAAATAGGCCAGGCTGCCGCACCCTCCCGCCGAGCACAGGGTACCAGCGCTCCCAGTTTGGGTAAGGTTATCATGCAGCATTGGTAACCTTGGCCTGGTATTTCGGATCAGTGACCTGCTGTGATTACAAAGAAGCTGTTGCTATGTTCTAGAGAATACATCCCAAAGTGAGGGCACACATCAACCAATTCTTAGCACCAGGCTTGCAAACTTGATGACTAGGTTTCTACCACTGTCAGGAAAAACCTACTTCAAAAGTGAAGACTCCCTACTGTCCTGAAGGTTCCCAATTTGCAACCTGCTCCATAATTGTGCCCGTCTGCTACCTTTAAATGAATGACAAAAATACTTCTGAACAACTGTAATTGGCTTTGGCAGAAGCATAGGCACCCATTCTCTGAACGTAACGGCAGCCAGTAATGGAGAGCAGCTCGGGGGCGGCCGCGCAGGAGAGGACACCCAGGCCAAACATGTATTGTATGCGGTACATAACCCACCATAAACAGAGTACTTACTGCCACGAACAGCATGCAGTACATGGAGAATGAAGAGTGGCCCGAGTAAAAAGACAATCTAGAAGAGAAAGAAGAGAAATGTCACTTTTCCCTCCTAGAGCCAAAGAACAGTCGTGATACCCTAAATCTTAACTGCCACAGTAAACGCATGTCTCTCCTCTCCCCTTTAGAAATCAGATGAATGGGGACCTGGGACAGTTACGACAGGAACATGGTAGTCTTGAGGGAGGAGGTGTCACATTACTGACGCTTCCAGGATAGAACTTGAGACAAACATTTCTAAAGTAATGCCTGACAAGCCATAACTAGTATAAATGGTCTGACTTCATTTCATATAAACTTATAGACCATAATTTAAGTTTTATTTTCCACCTGCAGGGTTTGCCCCTGAGTACTAGTAATACTTCCTTTGGAACACCCAGAAGTTGACTACCTTTTCAAAAACCACTTTTAAAAAATTAAAAGTGGTATTTTAGCATTTTAAACAGACACACATCTGGTCTTAGATTTCCCAACAAATTAAAGTGCTTTTGTTTGACATATATTTTATAATTATACACAGTCCTATACTTACCAGATTCTCTCTTTCAATATTATATTCTCTAAACATGTGAGTATGTGCCACCTTAAAATAACAGAATGCTTGCAAAGCTTAATTTTATGGCACTTTTTGAAAAAGGAAAAAGCTCACTAACATTCATGATCTAAGTTCTGCTAACATAGTACTGGCCATTGGGGCAGAAAAGGCAAACACACACATCTGATACCATAAAAATACTGTGTGAAAATGCAAAAGATGGATCAAGCAAACAATTAGAATGTTTTTCTACACAGAATAAAAATAAAACCAAGAAAGGCAGGCTTTTAAGTATTTTACTTCTTACACCTTGCTTGACTCAAAAGGAATTTGGTTTCCTTTTTTAAAACACATCAGAATGTCAATCTGTGTATGCAACTAACGGTGGGTGGGAGTACAGATTTCTTAAGCCTGTAGCGATGATGATCTACCAAGAATTATGACAGTCTTTTTCATATTCAGACACATCTCTAAGAAAATGAATATTCTCACTTCTTGTACTAGCTAGGAATTATATAATTAAATCTGATAATTGTGGATTTAATCTATGTAAAACAAGAAAAAAATTACTTTCAGCATTACCATTTGGCTGTAGAAAACATCACTACAAATCCTTACTTTAAATCATATAATTAGAGCAGAGTTCTGTACATTTTATGTTTCAGTGAGTTATACTGCAGAGCCTACAAGTAAATAAAAGCCAATTTCAAGGACTGTCAAATCCTATCAAGCCAACATGACCATGATCAAAGAAATGTTTTCAAAGCCAAGCAAGTTCAAAGTTTCATGAAGACTTCATGTTCACAGTATTCACTATCCATTGTGCTACAAAATCATAAACTCAAACCCTACGTAATCGTTTTAAACAGTTCTGATTTGGCACAGGGTGATGTCATTAGTTGAAAACAAAATGGTTTCAGTTTTTTATTCTAAATACATAAACATTTCATTCAGTATAGAATCAGCCAAATAACGTGTGACTTAAACAAATGGATGAAAAGACATAGGGGGAGAACTTGATTTGGCCTCAGTCTCCAAGTCTTCCTCATCCATAATAAGTGATCGAACAGATAATGGTAATATGGACTTTTATTACTACTAAAAACAGAATAAAAACCAAAATATAAATTAAAATTATTTTCATATTCTATATACATCTCTTTATTGGAATCTTTGGAGATACAGCTCTTTATTGTGTCTGAAACTCACAAATAAACAAATAATTTTATAAGTACTTTCACAAAATCTGAAAAGTAGGGGCACCCCTGGCAGGCTCAAGTCAGTACAGCATGAGACCTTTGATCTTGGAGTTGTGAGTTCAAGCCCCATGTTGCATGTACAGATAAGACCGCAAGCCCCATGTTGCATGTAAAGAGTACTTGAAAATAAAATCTTTAAAAAAGTAATAAAAATAAAATAAGCCCCCAAATATAGTCAAAATGCAGAATGTTTTCATCATAGTAACCTCACTGAAATATTAAAGATTTTGGCCCTGGCCTCCAAACACTACCCTGTTCTGAGATTTCCACCAATCCTAGGCTACCATCTTACTACATCACAGCTCCTCCAATGAATGGACACAATTACACCAGCTTTCCATCAAACCTTAGGCAAGTCTTTTCAGAAAGAAAATTTACAGAGATAAAAATGTATATATATTTTAGGGGTGCCTGGGTGGCTTAGTCGGTTAAGCGTCCAACTTTCGCTTAGGTCATGATCTCATGGTTCGTGGGTTCGAGCCCCGCGTCGGGCTCTGTGCTGACTGCCAGCTCAGAGCCTGGAGCCTGTTTCAGTCTGTGACTCCCTCTCTCTCTGACCCTCCCCTGCTCACGCTGTCTCTCTCTCTCTCTCCTAGAAATAAATAAAACATTTTTTTAAAAATGTATATATATTTTGAAATGCAGCTATTTTCACTAGCTCAGGCATGGATTATTAAACCGAGCAAGTAGACAAGTCTTGACAATACAACTTACTGTGAATGGGATTCAATTCCAAATGGCAAATTTAAGATTTTCTTTCTCTTGGGAGAGCTCATTAAACTTGACCTGAACCCCAAAGTCATAGCCTTATAGCCATCCACCACCACCCCCAGCACTGTCAGCTCCCGCCCTCCCCCCCACTTCAATCCATCAATCTTCCATCTTGACTTTCCAACATCTACATAAATGTTCAGCCTTATAAAGGAGCAAACAGGAAAAGACAACCAAATCCAACCTGTATCAGTCATCAGAAACAAGCAACTCACATAAAGTGTTTCTTCATGTTTTAGATAATATTTAGATGCTACTTGGGGACTCATGAGGAGACTGAATCACAACCCCCTATATCATCTCAATGCTCTTGCCCTCCCCCCTGGTTTTCCTCCTCCCTACTCTCCAAAGTTAAAAGGAACAAAACATTTATATCTTTAGCTATTTTCTTAGTTTGAAATGTCTACTTTGCATTCAACCTTGAATGATGATTTTCCTGAGTACAGAATTCTAGGTTAATGCTTTTTTTTTTTTTTTTTCATTACTGTGAGGCTATCATTAGACTATCTTCTGGGCTTCTACTTTTCTATTAAAATAGAAGCTATCTGTCTGCCATTCCCTTCTGGGTTACCTGTCCTTTGTAACTGCCTCCCCACCAGTACCACCACACCAAAGTCTCCAATATTCTCCAGTCTCACGATCGGTATCTAGTAGTAAGGTCTTATTTTTCTGATTTAGTATCTGTTGGCTTCCCATTTGTATACTTCACCAATTTTGAATAGGTTTTGGGCATCATACCTTTGACTATTATGTCTCATCCTATTCTCTTTTCCTGGATTCAGGTTCAAAATGTGACATCCATATCTCCTAACCTTTCTTTTATACTTTTAATCTTGCTCTGTCTTCTGTTTCAGCCCTCCCTTTCACTATGTCTAATGTGCTTAACCAGTCTATTTATTTACATTACTGTGTATCATTTCTAAAAGATCTCTTTGGTTCTTTTTCAAATCTATGGTCATTTTCCACTCTTTATCCTATATTCTTTTCTCAGTCTCTTATTTCTAAACAGTACACAAACTCATTTTATATTCCATATGGTAATTCTAATATCTGCAGCCTTTGAGAACTTCTATAGTTTGTCTTAATCACCTGGTACACAGCAAAGTTTTCTTCATCGGGATGTTCATTCATATGACAATATGAGCTTGTGTCCTTAGAACTCTCTCTGTGGGGATCTTAGAGGCCTTGATTTAAAGAGAGTTCTTCCACAGATGTTTGTTCTCTCCTGCTGGGTTCACTACCAATCCTTTTCAAAAAAAAAATTTTTTTTTTAAAGCCACATACATAGTATGAATTCTGGCCCCAGAACAGTGTGACTGTGGTCCTCTAGTTAAAATTCTTTCTGACAGCACCCTCTGGAAGGATGTTGCTCTTAGCAAGTCCTTAAATTATCCCTGAGTCTCCGCTCTGTCCACACTGCACTGGCCTCAGCCTTTATCTCTTGTGCCCCATGTTCAGAGCCCACCCAAACTCAGTCTAGGCTACCAGAAGTTGGCACATAATTTCAGGGCACACATCAGGTCTACAGCATTAACAAATCCCAACCTGAGAAAAATTCCTTTACTTTCTCATCAGCTTGGCTATTTATTAAAAAGATATATATGTTTATATTAAAAATATACATGTTTATATATATTTTAATATGTAACACATACCAACATATGCATATGTGTGTTTAATATATTACCCAGCACATATAATTCTATCAGTGTTCTAGTCCCCCATATTGCCAGAAAGAGAGGCAGGCTTTTTTTAAACAAGGATAAGGACTAATAAAATGTTTTCTAATATCAGCTATCTTACTAGGAGACATAGAGTTTGGCAAAAAGAGTCTTTCCATTTCAAAGTGGTCAATGCTCATAAAGCTTCCAATTATCACCATTCCACCACTTCATCAGCTACTAGTACCTCCTATGTGGAGGTATTTAATACACAGTATTTCTACTCTTTATGAAAATCCCTATGGTAGGGGCTGTCAATCCTATCTTACACATAGAGACCCTGAACCTCCCAGAGGTTCATTAACTTGCTCAAAAATCACATCACTTTGAGGGTGAAATCCGAGTCCTCACAACTCTTTCCCACTGTGCCATGATCCCACTCCCGTGGATGGCGAGGCAGACCCCGCGGCAGCACTGATCCTGCCATCTCCCGAGGGATGTGGGGAGCAGCCGTAAGAAAGAAGGAGTCACAGCTGACACAGGGCAGCGTGTGTGAAGTTAATATGCAAAGAACAACTTAGTCTATGAAAAAGCAAATGTCAGTGTGTAAATAATTATTTTAAGAGGATACTAATTTGTCCTCTGTACACTAAAGGCCAAGTTAAAAAAGGAAGTCAAACTGCAAGATGAGACATTTTCTCCAAATGTTATTTCCTGATTCCAAAGTGTACACAATAGCAAAGTAACTTGAAGGACATGATAAATTTCCTTTCTGCAGTAACCCTTAAAC